AGTCATGGTAGCTTGAAGACTCTGTAATAAACGTGATTAAGGAATAGACAAATAGAAATCAGTACCCTCTTCAACTGGAGAAAACTTGTAAGAAATACAACCATCAACAGAGCACCTACAAATAAACACATAAAATAACAAGTATTGCTATAAATCATATTTAATGTTCATAAAAATTCAAAATTTCCCACAAAGTGTGCTAAGTGAGGCACATTTTAAGCACAAACAATATCAAGGGCAATTGGAGCAACATTCAAAAATCATAAAAAATAAATTTTGATTGGAATCAGCTCAAATTTTTCAGACAATATAAGAACGTATAATATGCATCAGTAAAAATTCTATATGTACATTCTAAAATACAGGAAATGTTTCCTGTTTTACTATCACTTTTCCTTATAATTGTGTGTGCCACTGCTTAGGTACAGTTTTCATGGATTAGTTAAAGCAAGAGTACATAATATTAGGGAGAGTATCCAACAGCCCTATGCAGGCTGATACATCACGGCGTATTGTTTATTTGCACTTAATGGTGCTAACTTAAGGGAAATTAGTAAGGCGTGCCATTGTAATAACTAGTCCCGGCCCATAAAATGGCAGAAAATGACAAGTCTGGCATGAGGAGAAGTAAAAGAGGTACTGTGCGAGTAGCATATGAAGAGATAGACTTATTTTCTACCAGTGAAAGTGAAGAAGAAGTAAGGGATGAAACAGATGAATCGAATTTTGTCATTAGAAGACCAGAAGGGGCAGCTAATGATGATGGCTTGACCAAGAGAAAGGTGGGAACCAGCAAGGGTACTGGTAAGACTGCCAACAAGGCTACTTTTAAGAGTACCAGTAAGGCTATTAGGAAGAATACTACTCAAGATGCTAGCTGTGAAAGTAGCCAGACAGTGCAAGAGACCACTGTTTGCACACATAACATTGACACTGATGATAGTCCAACAAAACTAATGACAGAACCAAGAACTACGAAGCAAGTTAAAAGGAAAAGAAGTACAAAGAACCCAGAGTCATCTAGTAAAAATAGTAAACGATTGTTACAAAAGAAAGAACGTTTCAAAGCAATGGAATCTGTTAAAGATATGGCTATACCAGACATACTGCATAGACTAAAACTGACTTTACAAGACAAATTGCCAGTAGCAGAGGAAACCCTTAGCAGTGTATTTAATGCTTTGCTCGAAAGAGGCCCACTTCTTATCTCGATCATAGAGTATCATAAAAATGCATTTATGAGCTGTTACAATGACTGCAGTACTGGTAAAGATAAGTTTTTACGGTTCCAGTTGGAATGGCATAATCGCTGTAGTGTGTTCCTCTTGCCGAAGAACTATGACACTAGTGTGATATTCAATGTTAGCTTTGAAAAAGTGGATGAATCAAGATTCCAAATATCACGCAATTTAGATTCCACTCCATGCTTCTTTCCCTGATCAAATACTCTCTCTAATTCTACTGCATGATCTCTTGCTATTGTTGAAACTATAGATGAAAGCTGCTCATTCTGCTCACTGTCTAATGTCAAATCAGTGTGAGTAAAGCGATTCATTTTTCGTTTACCATTCCCACATTCAATCCTTTTATTTGTCATTCGCTTTGACTGACTATTAGGTGACATATAACTAAGTCGTGCGTGTGATGAAGGATCTTGTTGCTTAATTTTCTTTGAAGGGCCTTGTTCCACTGTACGCCAAACTTGATGCTCCAAATTACACCTCAGTTTTGTACAGTTATGACACAAAACTTCAATCGCTTCTCTACGCTCATTAGAAGCTGTTCGACCAAGCTCTGTCCACATCAAACAATTGCTTGAATCAATACGGTGAAAAGGTTCCAGAGTTATACGTACACTTTTCAGATCAAATCGAATTCAATCTCTATAGTTGTCATACTCGACTCGACTTAATCCAGGACAAAATTTACCAATCTGTGAGGTAGTGCTGTACTTCATACATAGCATGTCAACAACTTTAACACAAGAAGAATGGCTCAAAGTTCCTCTTTCAACCTCTCTCATCAAGATATGAACAACATATTCTGTTAAAGTGACTGAAATGCGACACCTAATCGTCATTCCAAATGGAAAGTGATTGTAGAGCTTCTTATGACTTATCAGTAAACATTGGTCACCACTGAAGTCACATATTGCCACTGTATATACTCTTCTAACTTTCTTACGGTCTTGTACACTTCTTCAACTATTCCATTCTCTGTGACGTCCATTTTTAATCACGTGATCTTCCCTCCCACACTTATAATAAAAAATTATTAAGTTACCATCGTGTTAATAGTGCTAATGCTGTGAATAGTAAACTCCTGCATATTAAGGAGTATACTGAGGTAAACAATACGCCGTGATGTATCAGGCTACTATAGGTGCGTTGGATACTCTCCCTAATATTATGTACTCTTGGTTAAAGTGTACAAATCAAGTTAGCAAATTAATAAGTTAACTACAATGAAGCAGCTAAAATTAAGCAAGAAATACAAAAAACATGCAGTACATGTACATGTGTCATTAACTGAAAATGACTATAAATACACAAGTACATGTACATGTATCAATTAAAGCCAGATTTACAATATGACGCTAGGCCAACGTAACGTCAATTTTTAATCAAAAGCGTAGGTGATTTGACCTTTTCACGCATGCTTCACGCTGGAGTTGAACCAGATTCAACTTCTGCGTCAACGTAACGTCAGGACTAGCGTCATATTGTAAATCCGGCTTAATGCACAATGTTATGAAGACAAATTGAGGTAATACTGTCCATGCAGTAAAGCCAATAGGAGGAGCACATGAAATAAAAGCTGAGATCCCTCCCTCTCTCTCTCTCTCACTCCTCATTATTTCAAGTTTTCTCATTCAATCTATTCTCTCATCAACATTATTCTGATACACATGTACATGTACATACAATGTACATGTAAAATGGTACAGTACATGTACATATACATGCATCAATTTCTGTTAGTGTATAAATCTGTTTCAATTCCATATTAGGACTTACATGTACATGTATCCTTTTCACAGACCACTATAAGATGGACATGATGACCATATTACAATCATCATCAAGAACACATCATTTTATAACTGGAGAGAGACAGAAGAAAACAGAGGTGGAACAAAGCACAAAATGAACCACTCATAAAAATTAATGATCTAACTCTGACGGTACAATGTAGTCCAAATGCATGAAATGTCAAAAAGGGGAGGGGCTGTCTTGAGAGACAATGCCGTACCAGTATGCAGTTCTTTACTGAGTTCTGTCACCTTATTTGGAGCTAATTTCAAAGATTCCAGTCTCATCCTTACCTACCAATGAGATGATGTGACATCATATTCTGTTTTCACTAGGAGAAACTAAATAGCCGGAAGGAGAGCGGAATGAATTTCATGTGGTGCGTGCATAGATATTAGAGTAAATGAAAGGGATAGGAAACTTCCGTTGCGTGGGTGGATTATTCCATTGAGATTATTAGGTTGCCTAGCAACTTAAGCTAGTTACCCTAGTCTCGCTAGCCAGACTCTAATTTACCGAATAAGAGTCTGGTGTCACGCCTAATATCAACTCGTGTTGCATTTGCCAAAAATGGGAGACCCAATGAAATTGCCGTGTCTATAGTTATTGCTTAGTTACCATGGTTACAGCGTCTTACTCCCACGTTTTTAAACATGGCTGAGAATTGTCTTTGCTGCGGTGCTGCAACAAACAGAGATAGCCTGGAGACTTTTAACCTCTGAGTCCAGTAAATCTGTAGTCCCTACGCTAGTTGAACTCTTTGAGAGAAACATGAAATTGAAGGGGGTAGAA